CTTCGGGCCCCAGGAAGGACAGCCCCACCTTAGCCTGCTGCAGCTGTGTCTCCAGGGGGCTGCCCTGATTGCCCCTCACACAGGAACTGAGATAGCATCATTCTGAAACCCAAGAGTGGTTTGAATATTGCTCAGGTACCAAGAGGTGTTACACTGGGGAGGCCAGGGCCTGTTTCTTCTCCCATGCCTCCTCCAAACCAGTCCCTGTTTATGGTTCCTGTTGCATTTCATTTGTACTTAATTTTCATATAAGCAACCCACAATTCCTATTGGGTCAGTAGCCCAGTTTGAAAAATGACTGCCTGTGGGGTCCTTCTGTATCCCATGTACTCTGGTGTCTTCAGCTAGCTGGACTTGTCTTGCTCTTACCAGCCCCTCCTGTTCTCTGTTTGCAAGACTTCCCTGCAGCTGCCCTTCTCCTCAGACTTGGGCCCAGGCCACCTGCCCTCTACCCATGCTCCTCCTGCACCTCCATCAGAAAGGTCCTGCTTGCCCCACCAGGTCCCGGGAGGTCTATCCTGCCTAGCTTTGCCTTGTTCAGGGAGGCTTTGGAGGGGTACTTGTGTGACATGGGGATGGTGCCAGCTGCAAGAGTCATGGCTATGGCCTGATGTTGGGAGAGGAAAGGTCCTGGAGCCATCAGAGCAGAAAGTGTCTCTCTCTCTCTCTCTTTCTCTCTCTTTTTTTTTTTTTTTTTTTTTTTTTTTTTTGGTCTTTTTCATTTTTATCGGCATCAGGGATCGAACTCACAACTGCCTGCTTGCAAGGCAGGTGCTTATGCCGGTGAGCTAAATCCCCAGCCCCTAGAAAGTGTCTCTTTTACAGTCAAACTTCTCCCAAGCACATGGCTGTGGATACCAGGCAGAGTGAAAGAGAAAGGGTTAGAGAAGAAGCAGCTGAAGGCCACCTCCTGGAGAGGGCTGCCTAGAAGAAGAGACAGGACGAGAGGAGACACAGAATGGGGCCAAGCCAGACTAGGAGAAAGAGTGCACATCTGGAGAACAGATGCCCAGGCCTCTGACTCCTGGCAGCTGGTTAGGTAATTAGACAGAGAGCTAATTAAGGAGGTCCAGGTGTTCATTAAAATCTTTCCAATGAGAGATTAGGAGGGGGGCTTGGATGGGATAGACCTCTACACCTTGGAGGGGGTCAGGTTAGGGTCCTCAATGCCCATCTGGGCCTCAGCTGCTCTTCTTCCAAAGTCATGGTTGAGTTCATGTTCTTGCCTCAGGGCTTCAAAGAACCTGCAGCAATGGGAAGTGGATAACAGTGGGGAAAGAGGTAGTATGGACTGCGCCTGCTTTGTAGGAGGCTGTGGTTAGATAGGACATCTCTAGTGGTGTTCACACAAGAGTGGGAGCAGCAGTAAGGAGCAGCAATAAGGAAAGGGCTCTGGGAAGCGTGGAATTATAGAAAGTACTTTGAGCTCTCTTGGAGGAAGTAGGGATAGATGAGGCCTGGTCTTTTCAGCCTGACTTCCCTCTACCAGTGAATCCTCAGTGGGTCTCTGTGGCTTCCCTGCCTTCTCAGCCCTGATCCCTCTCACATCCCTGCTCCCCCAGCTTGAGGCGGGGGTAGGGGGGTGGTATAGGAGATCAGCCAGGGAGCTGGTTGCCAGGCAACAGTTGCCTAAGCAACTCCATCCTCTCCATCTCCATGTGCTTAGGGCTGCTCCTTAGAAGACTAGAGTCTCACCCTCTGCACCAGCCAAGCTGAGGGTAGGGAAGGTTGAGAACTGGGATGGCAGGGGTGGTGGGAGGGTGGGTGGTATCCAAATAGACAAGTTTCAAGGTCAGCTGGATGAGGAAGAGTTCTGGCCACACAGAGGGCAGGAGCTGATGCCGCAGCAGGCCTGACAAAGGTTAGGCTGTAAGAAGGACTTCTCACAGGAGTCTGAACAGTGAAACTGTCTTTTCTTTCTACAGACAACCCTTGAGCTCCTGTCAGAAAAGAGATGTAGTTCTTGTCCTCATGAAGTTTCAGTATTGTAGGGGAACTAGTGTTAAATAGAAGTACAGAATTGTAATTATATACATTGTGATAAATGCTAGAAACATCACAAGAGTGGCTTTTTGGGATATCACAAGAGCAAGGGGAAGGACTCTTTCTCAGCTTGAAAAAAGTGATGGTACTGACTATAATGGATCAAGAGTCACCTCAGCTGGTCTGCTTCTGTTTTGTTTTGTTTTTTGTCTTTTTCATTTTTATCGGTACCAGGGATCGAACTCACGACCGCCTGCTTGCAAGGCAGGTGCTTATGCCGCTGAGCTAAATCCCCAGCCCCAGCTGGTCTGCTTCTGAACAGAGGTGATGAGGGGAAATAGGAACAGAGATCCTCAGCTTGAGTGCAGTCCTTACAGAGAACCAAGGCCAGAGGACCCAGTATAAAAAGCCAATTCTTCCTGGTGCCCTTACCCTTGAGTGCCCTGCCATTCCACCATGCCACAGCTCTGGAAAGCACAGTCCATGGACTATACTAAGTAGGGGACTGAAATCCTCTGGCTGGAGTCTTTGCAGAGCAGTTTGGCAAAGATGAGGGTGGTAGACAAGGAATGGGGCAGCTGGCAAAGGTTTTGGGCCAAGATGTGTGGTGGACCACTTGGGGCTGCTGTTACTGCTGCTGCCCCAAGATTTGTGTGTAGGGACCTTAGAAGGCCAGGGACCAGGAAGCACCTGGAGGACAGAGGGTCTGAGTTGGTGCTCTAAGGAGAGCAGATAGTAGAAGGTCTTTGGAGGAGGGGCAGGAGTTTCCTTGTTTTCTGTAATTCCCAGGACAGAGTTCCAGCTTCACCAGGGAGCCCTGAGGCTCTGGCCCTGTGATGGGAAAGCAGGCAAGGTTGTCTGGCAGCAGGTTCTATACTCCCATCCTTCTCTTGGCCTCTTTCCTCAATGACAAGGACACTGGGCTAACTTTGGTACCTATTGTGGCACTTGGGGGCAATGTGGAATTAGAAAGGCTCAAAAGAAGCTCAGGAGCCATAGCAGTGTGTGGAGGATGTTCTTTGTCATCTCTACTTCAGGGTGGCTTCACCCAGCTGGTAGGGAGGGTGGACGGAACCCAGGCCTCTCCTCGCTGCACTCTGTAGTAGGGTCTAGAGGTACTGTACAGAGAAGTTCTGTGGGTAGAGCTGAACCTCTCTGTTACACATTTCTTTTTTCTTTTTCTTTTCTTTTTTTTTTTTGTCTTTTTGAGACAGAGTCTCTGTATGCAGTTCAGGCTGGCCTTGAGCTCACTTTGTAGCCTAGGCTTCATTTTGAACTCACAACCATCCTCCTGCCTCAGAGGCCTCCTGAGTGCTGTGATTACAGGTGTGAGCCACCACGACCGGTCTATGTTCCAAAATTCTTGCAGGACCCATCTAGAGTGGCTTTAGAAAGCAAGTCCTAGGGACTGTGATGCATGCCTGTAATCTCAGCAACTCAAGACACTGAGGCAAAAGGATTGCAGGTTCAAGACTGGCCTGGATAAGTTAGTGAACTAGTGTCTCAAAGTTAAATAATAAAAAAGGGTTGATTTCCCTGAAAGCTCCATCTTTGATGTAAGGACTCTTACAAAGATAATGCTGATGTGGCCATCAGATCATATTTGTCCTGCTCTGGGTCCCTCTAGTCCCCAGAAGCTCACACAGCGGGTATGGCCTTGGCCACATATGAGAGCATGCACCTTTCCTAGCTCTGTCCCTGTGTCCTTCCCATCCTGTGGTGTCCTCTGGAGTTGTGCGGGGAAAGGCTTCTATTTCCTACACAGACTGTGGTGCTGACACTGTTCATCCAGTGGGCCAGGGTGGGTTAGGGTGTTTTGAAATGGGGACTGCCGGGTGCCATATGCCCAGGCTGCCAGGGCCCTTGCTAGTGTGCCAGTTGGCTACTCAAGAAGCACTGCTCAGTCATCCTGGCCTCCAGGACTGTGCCCCTTTTTGTACTCACAGTTTTAGTACTCATATCAGGGTTGCTGTCTAATGCTTGTGTGCTATAGTAGCAGAGTTGAGTAGTTGCAGCAGAAAGTGTGACTTGCACATCCTAGAATATTTCATTTGGTCTTTTACAGAAAAAATTTCCCAGGGCTGAAGGGTGGCCCAGTGGGGGTAGAACATATGCCTACTATGCATGGACCCTAGGAGTCCATCCCCAGCACCACAGAAAGAAAAGAGAAAAAAAAAAAAAAAACTCCTGATCTAGAAGAGTAGCTTGTTTGTTCATTTGTTTAAGTAGCTTGTTTCTTCAAACAAATTTTAGGCTTAAGACTATTAGGTAAGACAAATTGCTGTGAAGGATCTCTGGTTGAAAGGAGATGGAAGAGGTCTTTCTTTTTTTTTTGAGACAGGGCCTGACTACGTAGTTCAGGCTGGCCTTGATGTTAAACTCAATTTATAGCCCAGACGGGCCTAAACTCCTGGCAGTCCTCCTGCCTCAGCCTCCCAAGCCCTGGGATTGTAGATATGCACCACTACTCCCAGCAAGATGGAGGTCTCGTAGCTCTCCAGGCTTTGTGAGCTGGTGTGAGCACCACTGCTGTGCTTTTTTTTTTTTTTTTTTTTTTTGTCTTTTTTATCAGTACCAGGGATCAGACTCAGACTGCCTGCTTGCAAGGCAGGCACTTATGCCGCTGAGCTAAATCCCCAGCCCTTTGTGTGTTCTTGATCTAGGGCACCAGAGACCCCTGCCCTGGCACCTGGCATCCTAGGCAGATATTTATCCAGTGTGCTCATAACACCAGACCACAGTGTGGAAACCACTGGCCTGGATCGGAGGGACAAATGGGGTACCCTGACAGGCTCCAGAAGGACTAGGGGCATTCTCTAGACCCATCCAGACCCTCAACAGCCAGGAACTCTATGTCATCTTTTCTGGTTGGGAACCTGAGTGCTCAGCATGGCCTTGCCAAGGAAGCCAATGCAGTGTAGGACTAAGGGTGCTATAAGCTTGGCTTGTGTCCCAGGAATCCAAAAGCTGGGTGGGTGCCAGGACCCTGACAGCCCCCTTATACTTTTCTGTTCCAGGAGACTGCAGAAGGTGTCCTGTAGACCATGAACTGAGTGTGGGTCTCAGACGTTCATGAGCACAGTGTGAGATACACCAAGACCTGCCACCCTACAACCCTTCCCCTCCCCAGCACTGAGAACCTCTGGAGAAGATGGGGAGGAAAAAGATCCAGATCCAGCGAATCACTGATGAGCGGAACCGACAGGTAAGGAAGTCCTAGAGCCCACAGAGTGATAAGGAAGGAGCTCTCCCAGAGGGCTTCCTGGAAGAGGCGGGGCTCTGGAGGCTGTGACAGAAAAGGGTCTGAGTTGAGAGAAGAGCTGTGCTACCCTTGCATCTCTTGAATCTATATCCTAGGGCTAGAGGCTGCTCCACAACTCTGGAGCCACATGCCTTCCTCAGACCACACTGGAGGCTCCCCAGTCCCAGAATGGCTCTTTCCCTCTCCTCACCCCAGGAGCTGTTCTGTTTTTGTCTCTTACCTGCTCCCTCATCACCAGGACATGCTTTCCCTTCCAAGATCTGGCTTTGGCCTTGTCTTGGCCATGTGCTGGCCAGGAGATGCCCGTTCTTTCCCAGACATGAGCTTTGCCGTCACCCTAAGAATGGGGGCTCCCAGGACTCTGCTACTGAGCCAGACCCAACTGTCCATTGCCCTCCTGCAGGTGACCTTTACCAAGCGGAAGTTTGGGCTGATGAAGAAAGCATATGAGCTGAGTGTGCTATGTGACTGTGAGATCGCCCTCATCATCTTCAACCACTCCAACAAGCTGTTTCAGTACGCCAGCACTGACATGGACAAGGTGCTGCTCAAGTACACCGAGTACAACGAGCCACATGAGAGCCGCACCAACGCTGATATTATCGAGGTGGGCCTGCCCTCTTAGCCTCACACCTCTGTGCCACCCAGTAGCCCCTCCTCTCACACAAGTGTCTGGCAGTGCCTGGGCCATCCACCCACCCTCAGGGAAGTCTGTCTCCTGTCTGACAGGCCTGATAAAACACCCCCTGCTGTGTTCTCTCAGTCACTCTCTCGCTACCTTTCCTCTTTCTGCTTCTTTTGGTCTGCCTATGCATGGGACTTGTGGTTTTTTGTCTCACTCTTTATTTTCTTCTTTCCTACTCTGTCTGTCTGTGAGTCCCCATGACTGTATGTTTTGTTTCAAAGAGAGCCGACATTGGGAACTATTGAAGGACACAAGCTGTGGAATTCAGCTCTGGCCATTACCAGCCATGTGGCACTGGGCAGGTGTTTGGCCTTCCTGAGCCATGGTGTCCCCTTCCACAAAACAGGGTCAGTGCCTGCTTTGAAGGACGCACCATGGTTGGCATGAGGTGGCCCAGCTCCTGCATCTCACCCTAGGTGCATGCAGCTTGGGAACAGAACTTGTGTAGTTGAAGAGGGTGTCTGGGAAGCCATATCCTGATTGGAGATTTGCAGGAAACTAATAATCAAAGCAAATATCTGTGGGTTCCACTGCCTTAGGTTGCTGCAGATATCTTTGCTTTCCTACATTTCATCTCTTTCCTGCTCTTATCTCTGTCCCCATTTCTCTGTGCTCATCCTTCAGGGGTCCATGTTTTGGGATGGGCAGAACCTCCCAACCCAGTGAGCCTACTAGCCAGGCCTTTGCAAGGCTATCTTGCACCTACTGTCTGCTGAGCCCTTCCCCATGTCAATGTCCTTGTGCCTAGTGCTCTGCTGGGCTCCCCTGTGGGCCCTCCATTTTCACATCCTAGCACCAAGCGGCCTTCACACAGTTCTTGGGGGAGGAGAGGAGGTACTGAAACTTGGGGACCAGGGAAGGTGGGTGGGGTGACCCTCACTGGCTGATGGTAGTGGTGCGGTTGCAGACCCTGAGGAAGAAGGGTTTCAATGGCTGCGACAGCCCAGAGCCGGACGGGGAGGACTCGCTGGAACAGAGCCCCCTGCTGGAAGACAAGTACCGGCGCGCCAGCGAGGAGCTGGACGGGCTCTTCCGGCGCTATGGGGTGAGCCCTACTCACTGTCTCTCTGTTGGCCCCTCCTGGCCCCTTCCCCCAGGCGCTGCACAAGAAGCACAGGGAGTGTGAGAGTCCTGAGGTGGACGAGGTGTTTGCCCTGACCCCCCAGACGGAAGAGAAATATAAAAAGATAGACGAGGAGTTTGATAAAATGATGCAGAGTTATAGACTGGCCGTGAGTAGTTGCGTGGAGAGCGCCTCCCGTGGTGCATGGTGTGGCTTTGCGCCCCGCCCCAGCCCTCTGCTGCCTCTGATGCGTGTCCGCTCTGAGCCATGCTGGGGCTAGGAGTGACCACGGAGGGCCCTGTGACTCATCTCAGTGGAGCGGAGCTGGAGGGGTATGGTGTACCCTTCTCTAATAGGAAGTATGTAGTGACACTTACAGGACCTCAAGAGGACAGAAAGGTGGAAGGCAGTCATCCTGAGGAGAGGACTCTGTCTAAGGCAGAGGGGACTGAGCTCCCTCTATACCAGGCCAGTGGACCACAAGCAGAGCCAGGTCCTGACCCATGGCACAGGCCTTAACAGCTGTGTGTGTGAATTCAGGTCCGCACTTGGCCTCTAACCTGCTCCCGGTGTGTCCTGCCTGGCTGAGGACTAACCTTCCTGACCAGGGGGTGTCCCTGATTCTGCTACAGTGAGCAGAGCCTCATTCTCATCCTGTGGGCCAGAGCTAGACCCCAGAGCACCCTCCTAATGTTCCTTGGTGGGAGTGACAAGCGGAACTGCAATAGGATCAAGAGCAGACTGCTCAACCTGCTGGCTCTAGAATGCATAGCTGAGAACCCTGAAGAATCCTTGCCTGCCCTCCAAGGCAATGTGGGTCCAGGGGCAGGGGCTGACCTAGCCTGACTCTGCTCTTCTATGTTTCTGTCTAGTCAGCTGTCCCGGCCCCAAACTTTGCCATGCCTGTCACGGTGCCCGTGTCCAATCAGAGCTCACTGCAGTTCACCAATCCCAGCGGCTCCTTGGTCACCCCTTCCCTGGTGACATCATCCCTCACAGACCCGCGGCTCCTGTCCCCCCAGCAGCCAGCACTACAGAGGAACAGTGTGTCTCCAGGCCTGCCCCAGCGGCCAGCTAGTGCAGGTGAGTAGGCCACTGGAGTTGATATGATTTGAGGTTCCATCTTGCATAGTGAGTCATCTAGCACAAGATTCCCACAGTCTTGTGGCTGCTGAAGGAGAGGCTTAGGTCTTAGGGTCCCCTCTTTCTGTTCTACCTCCAAGACTCATTTGGAAAGGTGGAGTATCATCAGCTTATAAAAGTTCTGCTTTTCCCCAGGAGCCATGCTGGGAGGTGACCTCACCAGTGCTAATGGAGCCTGCCCTAGCCCTGTTGGTGAGTGCAGCTGCCCTTCTGTCAGGTGGACCTAAAGTAGAGAAGAGGATAATCCCAGTGCCCGACCAGATGGAGAGTCAGACTCTCTAAGCCCTTGGTGCCTGGTGTGTATGACAGTGGTTGGTGTGGATGGTCCACAGAGATCTGTGTTTGGTGAAGGCTGGGCAGGCTGTGAGAGCGGACTTTTTTTGGAGCAGTAGATCTGGGTGTTTCAGGTTGAGTAGGGCATCCTGGTTGGGACCTGGAGAAGAGAGCACTTAGAGCAGTGAAGGTGAACCTTTTACAGTTTCAGTGATAAAAAAATCTGCTGTGCATGCATGCCATAGGTTTACCTCCACTGGCTTAGAAGAACAATAGGTACACACTTGTACATCCACACAAATTGTCTCATACTCCGCAACAGCCAGATTCGTAATGTGTACTTTTGAGCACATAAGCTACAGGAGAAAGACTGCCCTCTGCCCTCTGCCCCAGCAGCTGACAGACTCTCCTGCCCTGTGCCATTGTCCAGAAGGGTGATTGACTTCTAATGTCATCATTTACGTCACTCCTATGTTCTTGCCGTTCCCAGAGTGATCTGAGAATCGGGATGGAGGCAGCCACAGACTGTCAGGGCACAGTATGCTCTTAGGGAACAGAACTACCTGACAGCAATTGTGTATCAGTCAGGAAAAAGGTGTGGTATGTGAATGCCTCTTTCTGTCTGAGAAGAGGGCCAAGATACGTTTGTGGACTTCAGAGAAGTAGTGATGCAGAGGGAACTGGGAGTACAGCATGTGGGGAGCGTAAGGGAGCCCTCCAACCAGCTTTGTGGCCTGGGATAAGTCTTTGTACCTCTCCCATCCAGGCTTGAGACCCTCTTCCGTAAACAGGGCTAATAATACGTGTCCTGTCCATCTTGCAGGGTAAATGTGAGGATTAAATGAGATAATATGTGTGTGAAAGGCCTGTGGATGTTGTGTGGTATAGACCAGATGGGAAAGGTAGTTATTATTCCTGTTGTTACCAGTCTAATTATGGTGGTGGCTATGTCATTCATTCCCCAGTGCCAGCCGTACCATCAGTTCTAGTGAATGGCTTGTCTCCTACAGGCCAGTACAAATCCTAGTGTTCCCCACTCATGGCACAGGGAGCAGTCTGAGTGAGTGGGGGTAGGCACTGGTGATCAGGCTCCAGGCTACCAACCCTTTGCTACCTTGGTAACTGTGCATCCTGTCTATCATGGGTTGTGGGATTTGGAGACAATGAAGAAAGCATGTGCGGAGAGGCCTGGTCTCAGATCTGTTGTCTGCTGTGAGGCAGAGGCAATGGTTGCCTTAGCACTTTTCTCTCATGTCACTTGGAAGCCAGATGCAAACCCAGTGGTATAGGAGCAAGAGCCTTCTCTCATGCCCAAGATGGGAAGGAAGGCTTTAGAGATAATCAGACAGCTCAGCACCTACACAGAGACACAGTTGCTTGAGAGATTCTGGGTGGCATGGGTATTGGCAGAGTGACATTAGCATGGCCGAGGGGTGGCACATACTTTCCCTTCTCCTCATCTCCTTTCTTCTCTAGGGAATGGCTATGTTAGTGCCCGGGCTTCCCCTGGCCTCCTCCCTGTGGCCAATGGTAACAGTCTGAACAAGGTCATCCCTGCCAAGTCTCCACCCCCGCCCACCCACAGTGCCCAGCTTGGAGCCCCCAGCCGCAAGCCTGACCTGCGGGTCATCACCTCCCAGGGAGGAAAGGGATTAATGCACCACTTGGTGAGTGAATGTCTGGGCCTTGGCTCAGGAACAGGATGGGGGAAGAGGAAGAACCAGGCTTCTGGTGGGAGAAGTACAGCCAGCCTACCTGGGACTTCCAAGGGAGATCATGGAAGCATGGCTCTTGATGAGGGCTTTTTCTCCAAAGACCTTTTCTCCAAGGTCTTTTGAAAGGCTGGAACATAGAAATACTAACTAGCTCAAGGGCAGTAGAATGGGACCAAGGTGGGGAGAGCATTCTATGATGGGAGGGTAATAGGAAGGACTACATTGTCATGACTGGAGGGTGACGGTAGGCACCAGAAACTTAAGGATTGTGATAATGTCTCCCCAGTGGAGGTGGGGTATGGTGTCTTCTAGAAATCAGTTGGCTAGGGAGAGTTCTTGCTGTAGGGCAGAAAGTTGGGCAGTTGGCTATGGGGTGGGAAGAGGCCAGAGACTAAGCCACCACTTGATTCTATTTCTGCTCCCAGACTGAGGACCATTTAGATCTGGTAAGTGATGCTGTGAGACATTTGCTGTGCCTCTGAATTCCGGGTCAGCTGCTGCTCTGCAGTCCCCAGCATGATGGTGTGTCCTCCTGTCCTTCTGCCTGCATGTAGCGTGTGCGGCATTGACTTGGGTATTTTCTAAGAGCTGTGCCCGTGCTGGGGTGACTGAGGGATGAGGACTGAACATGCATGCCAAGTACTATGTGCTTGTGGTTATCTTCATGTGGTGTTGCATTCATCCAGGCATGTATCTGTATGTGTGTATATATGTGCAACGAGGAGTAAAGCCATCCCCAAGCCTCAGAGGTCCCAACCCTGATGCCTGGGTTAGGCCTATGGATCTCACCAGCATACCAACTCCACTGAGGTCCACATAGCACTCTTGGAACCCAGGGCAGGGAATTCCTTAGTGAGAATGCCAGCTGGACAGTAACAGTGCTGTGTCAGGGGTAGATGAAGTCCAAGCCAAGGGCCTGTGTCACACACGCTTGCACACACACTCTCATACACACACACACCCTCAGCTAGAAATGAGGCAGGGGATCCTCCCTTCCCAGCTCCCTGATGGGAGGCCAGAGAGACTGGAAAAGGCAGGCTAGCTTTGGCGGCCAACACAGTGGCAGTTTCGGCCCCAGCGTGGATTTGGAATAAATAAGTGACTCAGCAGCAGATGGAGCTGACAGCTCCACACACACGTGCGCGTATAGGCAGGCACATGACATGCCGTCCCCATGGTCTCCTCCAGGACACCAGCACATCTCTCTAGGGTTATGTGCTGTGGTGCAGTGATGCAGGATGGCTTCTGGGGACCTGGCCAGAACAAAAAGCCATGGCCTGGGAGCTTGGGCCCAGCATGGTACTGGTTGGCATTTATGCCTTCCTTTCGGTGCATATTTAGATGCCAAGGGACCAGTGTGAGTGAGCATGATTTTCTTTGTGGTCACTGTCTGTGTGGGCAGCCGGTGTTCATTTGTCTACATGGTCTCCATGCTGACATGCCTCCTCTGGCCTTGGGATTTAAGGCCTGCAGCCTGGCCTTTGGCATGGAGGGCCTGCCCAAGGAAGCCCCCCATCTACTACCTCCTGACAGACAGTTTTCTCCTGCAGAACAATGCCCAGCGCCTTGGGGTCTCCCAGTCTACCCACTCGCTCACCACCCCAGTGGTCTCCGTGGCAACACCGAGTTTACTCAGCCAGGGCCTTCCCTTTTCTTCCATGCCCACTGCCTACAACACAGGTGAGTGCATCTGGACTGGGGCAGGTGAGTGGGCCACAGGGGAGCAACAAGGTACCCTAGAAGTATAAAGACTTAGGAAGGCCATTGATTTGGGAGAGTCCCCATCTAATTATGGTTGCTAAATCTGAATTGCAGCATGCCCTTTTTTAGTTTTATTCCAAAGACCTTTTTTTGCTAAAGCGTTTACCAAAGACACTTAATGCTAAAAATACTGTGTTTTTGTTTTAGTTTTTTAAGCAGTAGCCTAGTTTATTGGAGAAAGTAAAAGTGAAGAGTGGGAGAGAAACTGCTCTATAGAGGGAGCTTGGGCTAAGTAAAGAGAAAAAGAGAGTAAAAGCCTGTACTGCATCTGGGAAACATACCTTTGGCTATTACGAGAAGTTATGATAGCCATGCATAGCTTTATCTGAAACTCTTAACTTGCCTAGGCACTCTTTATCTTTAATGTAGATAGTGGCTGGGGATATAGCTCAGTAGCGTTACGCCTTCCTGGTAAGAACGAGATCATAAGTTCAATTCTCAGTACCAAAAAACAAAATAAAACAAAACATAGAGCCTAGTGGAAGGGAGGTGCTGTCCACAGGGAGCCTCATTGGAGGGAGATGAGATGGAGATAGGCATAGCAAGTGATTCAGGCTGCCAGGCCCTGGATGCCAGGTGTAGAGAATGAGCGGGCAGACATAGTCAGTGCTGAAAAGGCTTCCCCGAGGAAAATGAAGGCATGAGGAGAGAAGAGGCAGGCTGAGGAGGCCCAGACAGCAGCATGGACAGGTAGATTTGCTGGCTTCCTGGGCCGAGGGCAAAGGTGGGAGAAGGGTCTCTCTCTCATGTTGACTTAGTGAGGGAATCATTAGGGGAGAAGAGGCAGAAGAAAACTGATGAAGGTTGAGGAGGTGAATCTGAAGAAGAAGCACTTGGGCACTTGGAAGAGACCTCTGGGCAGAATTCAGACAGGACACCCAGTGCCCGGCCCACCCTGAGTAGCTGGGTCACCCACTCACACCTACACCTGCTGGTACACTCTGTCACAGTCTCACCCAGGCTGTGTCAGGAAGGACTTCCCAGTGAGCGAAATGCATGTTGCCTGGTGTCCCATTTCATACCTGGCTGGAGAAACTGGGTTCTTACTGCTGAGGGGTCTTCTTCCTCCCCCCAGTTCTCACATGAGTGGCTTACATTAGGGCTGTTCCTATGACAAGGGTAGACTAGATCAGAAGATTCCAAGACTGCTGCCATGGTAGCCTGTATCCCCGAACTGAAGTAGGTGAGACACTAGGTGCCAGTACAGACCACATAGATCTGTGTCTCCCTCCCAGCCATGTGCATGCAAGGCTTTTCTGGTGAAAAACAAGGGAGCGAGAGGACCTGATTTATGCTGAGGGGACAGACTGTGGCATGGTCTGTGAGCTTCTTGTCCCTTGGCTGTACACATCCACGCCCACATTCTTAAGTCTTTAGCCTCAGTCTGGCACTCTGTGAGCTGAAACTTGCTCCTCAGAGCAGTGGGTGACCAAGGCTTGGGGCGGGACGGGGAGCAGTGAGAAAGGTTGGCTCTCAGTGCTGGGCCAGGCGGTATGGTTGGTGGACAGCAATCCAGACCACTTTTTAGAAACTGCTCATGAGGTGGGAATCCTCCATGGTAGCTTTCCATGGTCTTCTGATCCAGCAGCCTATGAAGCCAGTTGCTACTGATAGACCTGAGATAGGTGCTCAGTGGCCCAGCCTTCAGGACTCTTCTTTCTCACACCCACTTGAGAGGAGATGGCAGTAGCTAAGCAGACCTACGGGTAGACAGCAGGTGTTTTTAGGTGACCCTAGGTGTATAAACAAAGTCCAGTAAGCACATTGCTGTTTATAGTCTCGGTGTCAGTTCAAGTTCCAGCTGGGGTGATCTGGCGGCAGTAATGTCTTGGGCAAGAGGTAGCCCTGGCTCCTTGTTGATACTGGCTACACAGTTTGACTGGTGGCTCTGCGAGGGCAGATGCTGCTTGTGGCCTGGGGCCACACCTATGGCCTTCAGGAGCCAAGCTTCCTTTGGTAGATTCCACCTGGAGTCTGGTTGGCAGAGGCAGGACTGGGTCTGTACTGTCCACTCCCTCAGTACTACCTCAGTACAGCACTCTTTGTCTTGGGCCTGGCTTCTTTCTTTGCAAATAAGTTAGAAATCTGAATCCTGGGCCTATTTTTGATCTTGTTCAGCTTCTTAAATATAAGCATCTCAGAACTCACAGCCAACATCAGGAAATGAGTTGCAAGCATGGGCCACCTCTGGTATGATGTTTAGAGGTCAAAATGTCCTGGGGCTCCTCTGAGCCCTGCCACGGGCTCCATGACATAGGCGGATCCTCATTCCTGAGGCTGCAGCTGCTTCGCCAGTAAAGTATTACTAGGAAACCCTGAGCCAGACAGTGTTCTGCATGCCTCCATGTGGAGCTCCTTGTGTCCTGCCAGCAGCTGTGCCTGTAGGGAGGATCTGCCCCTGTCTCCCTGGAGCAGAGCGTAAGCAGCTTGCCTCAGGTCATGTGACATTGGCCTCGAAGCTCAGCACTTTAACTTTGCTGCTGCACTGTGCGTGTCCCTCCTGTCTTCCTTATATAGACAGAGCACTGAAGCCCATGCCTCTGGACTAGTAGTAGTGCAGTGTAAGTGGGAATGCTGAGGTTGTGCCCCTTTCCGGCATGCCCTCTGTTGTCACAGTTGAAGCTGTGGCCCTCAGGGAAGGCATCTGCTCCACTGCACAAGATGCACTGTGCGGGGCGAGGGAGCCATGCCTACTGTGAAGCTGTCATGGCTCTGTTCTGCAGCAGTGCAGGCATCAACAGTGCCCTCTTTGGATAGACAATTTAGAAAGGAATGAATATCCTCCTGGGGCGTCTCCAAGAACCTTAGTTTATGTGCTTCAGTCTGGGCCCAAGAAGCCCTGCATGTCTTCTTTTCTGTGGGCACAGTGCCTTGAGCCCCTTGCTTAGTTTATTGGTAGTCTCAAGACATTTGGAATGGTAGTCGCATAGTTGCTTCCTGGATCCTCTTGCCTGTTGATCCCATGGCTCCAACTGCCTCAGAAAGACTTGGCAGGTGAAGGATGACAGATGTAATTAGACTTTCCCTACTATCATTTTCATCCCATTTTCTTTTTTGTAATTGTCACTATTTTTTTCCCCAGACAAGGGTCTTGCTGTATAGTTTAGGCTGGCCTTGGACTCCCTGTGTAGCCCAGGCTAACCTCAAACTCTCAGTAACCCTCTTGCCTTGGCCTCCTGAGTGTTGGGATTACAGGCATGCTTACTGTATCCTGCAATAATTGTCATTGTAAAAGTGATACCTACACATGATATTTTTTGAAGTTCAGCACTGTTTTAAAAACCACCTCTCTTCATCCTGTTGAAAGTACAGCACCTCCTGTTATTATGACTTGCATTTTTCTCAGTGCCATCTTCACTGAATTTTTATGGGTTTCTTGAATGTCTCACATCTGTCATTAAACACCACCTGTCCCATCATCTCTGTGGGCCTCTTAATGGCTCCCTCTCTAGGCTCCACCTCGCCTTCTTCCGCTGCAGATTACCAGTTGACGAGTGCAGAGCTATCCTCCTTACCGGCCTTCAGCTCACCAGGGGGGCTGTCACTAGGCAACGTTACCGCCTGGCAGCAGCCCCAGCAGCCCCAACAGCCTCCACAACCACAGCCACAGCCACAGCAGCCTCCGCAGCCTCAGCAGCCACCTCAGCCACCTCAGCAGCAGCCCCACCTGGTCCCCGTGTCTCTCAGCAACCTCATGTGAGTCCTTGGGAGGTTTCCCATGGGTGGGTGCAGTGGGGAGAAGTGGGCAGAGGACCGTGAGGCTGTATGGCACTAAGTGGCAGCCCTGAGTTCCTTATTTCGGCCCAGAGGACTCACTGGGGCCTCTGCCCATCCACCCCAGAGTGTGGGATGGTGTGGACCTGGGCTGTAGAGGGTGACCGGGATAGAACTAGAACTAATGCCACTTCTTTCTCTTGTCTGCCCATTTGTGTGTCTCCCTCTTCCGTCTCATCCCTGCCCCACTGTCTGTTCTCTCTTACTTTGTGGCTTTTCCTCACTTTTTCTGTCACCCAACCCTTTCTTTCTGTCCTTGTCACCTATCCCCATTGCCTGTCTCCAGCCCGGGCAGCCCCTTGCCCCATGTGGGAGCTGCCCTCACCGTCACCACCCACCCACACATCAGCATCAAGTCAGAACCGGTGTCCCCAAGCCGAGAGCGCAGCCCTGCGCCTCCCCCTCCAGCTGCAGTGTTCCCGGCTGCCCGCCCAGAGCCCGGTGATGGTCTCAGTAGCCCTGCAGGAGGATCCTATGAGACGGGAGACCGGGATGATGGCCGGGGGGACTTCGGGCCCACACTGGGCCTGCTGCGCCCAGCCCCGGAATCGGAGGCTGAGGGCTCAGCTGTGAAGAGGATGCGGCTGGACACCTGGGTACTGTAGTGCCACCCCGGCCTGCCAGTGTCTGCTGCACCCAGGGCCGCCCCGTGTGCCCCAGCCTGTTTCTCTCCTGAGAGACCCGTGGTCAGCCAGCCCTCCCTTGGTCCGTTTGTCACCTCATAAGAGGTCCATCTGCCCCAGCACTGGTCTGCTCAATGCCCCACAGCTGGCCTGCCCCTAGCATCCATGGGAGAGGGGAGTGGGGTGCCCCAGCAGTTGGGGTCCCCCTCACCCCCTTTCTCCATCTCCTCTCTTCACAGACATTAAAGTGACGTTCCCACTCCCTTCCCAGATGAAGAGTTGACAATCTCACCGCCCCCCCACCCCCACCCCCATCCTGGGCTTTTCCCGCTTGACCCCCACTTCCTTTCTTGTGCTTTATGTCCTGTTGATGGTTACATTTGTGTATAATTATTATTATATTATTATTATTATTATTATATTTTTTTTAATTTGGATTCTTGCTTTAGAGAGATGGATGCTTTCATCCCCTCTCTTACCCCCACCATTTTCACTGGTTGGAGGCTTTTTTTTTTTTTTTTTTTTTTTGCGGGAAGGGGGGGACACTTTGCACGTTGTACACATATGCTGCAGGAAGGGTGGGGGCCTGGTAGGCCTTAGGGAAAGGACACTTTGCTGAGCTCTGCATGTGGAGCCCTCTTGCCCCATCTCCCAGACAGAGAAAAGGAACCAAAAAAACTACCAAGCAACAAAAACCCCTCCAGTAGACAAACCCCAAAAGTGACTTGGTGGGTGGTTTATAGTCAAGGGAATGGGAGCAGGTAGAGGGTCTCCATTTCTAGGCTACTCAAACAGCACATGGGCCAGACAGACACACCCAGCCCCTGTGTGCCCCGTACACTCATGTGACACACACTCGCTGGCGCTGTGCGTTGCACCCCCAAGGTGTATGGGTGCTGGCTGAGCTTCCGGGCTGGGAAGGTTGCCTGGGAATCTGAGGCTGGGGCAAGGCTTTGAGGGTATCCTCTCTGGAAGCACATTTGGGGAGAAAGATGATGAGGCACTAGGAGAGCAGAAGGGCTTGGTAAGGGTGAGCCAGGCCCCTCTGTCTCCAGCTTTTTCTCTAGGATACACAGTGCAATAGTGCCCCAGCCTCAGTGGACCAGCTCTGTCAAGCTGGCCCTGCCGGGAGCTCCAGGGAGGTGTTCTGGGACTGGGCACAAAGAGCAGATATGGGAGGGCTTCCTCTGCCTTGCATGCACGCTGCCCTGCCCTGGGGAGTGGGCCAGGCTGGTGGGGCAGGGCCATCCAGTTCCCTGCTCATCACCTCCTGGCATCTGCTCCTAGCCCTGCTCTCTCTGGCGCCCTCACTGTCAGCTACCTCCTGTCCCACCACCTCCAGGCCACATCCCACCGCCCCTCTTGGCTACTGTAATTGTAAATAGTGACCTTTGGAAAATGTTAGCGGTATAACAGTCCAGGAAACTGTTGTGGTGTTTGTTGTTGTTGTTGTTGTTGTTGTATTGATATGAAATGAGATTCTATTTTTGTCAAAGTATATTGTAATAATAATGACTCAAATGGCCTGTACTGTACAGATGAGATTCTTCTGATATTCTTCCTCCCCTCCACTGTCTCTACCATGAGTAGTACAGTGGCCCAGGAGGCAGTCAAGCATGGGTCATGTGATGTGGGATGGATCAGAGAGGGTAGAACCCCATTGTGCTCTCCTCCCCTCACCCTGGCCTGGCAGGGAGGGGGGTGACAAGGGCTGGCTGGCAGGACTCTGGCCACTCTTCCACACAAGCTTAGCTGCCTGGCCCTAGGGGCAGTGCCCTTGCGCTGCTCCTGCTGGAGATTAGTTAGACCAAGCCGCATGTTGCAGTACTGTGCCCAGTGCTGACCCATCCTCACAGTATTCTGGCACTTGACACAGGGAAGGAACCAGAGCCAGAGAGATGTGTGAGACCACACACATGCCCAGGCATATCCAAGAGGGCTCTGGTGTTTCTGAATCCCAGTGTACCTTTGTGTTTGTGTGTGTGCGTGCATGCGTGTGCGCACATGTGCTCAGTGTAGCTTTGTGTCCCTCTGAGCCTAGTAGGGAGGATTCATGAACCTTGGTGGAACAGGAGCTCTGTATCTGTATGGTCAGGTATGTTTCCAAAAAGACAACTCTTAGGCTCCACTGCCCTGGCTTCCAGCTCTGTGTCCCTGGCTCCCTTTTTCTCTGCTCCTTCCCTAGGCTCTGGCTGCCATCCTGCAGTCAAAGGAAGTTGGCACTTGGCCCTGTTTGCTTTTCCCTGTCCCCTACTCTGCCAGGGCTGCCTTCCTATGGGACCATGGCCTCTCCACACTTGTCCACTGGGCCCCCACACTTGACACACAGTGCCCTTTCCCAGAGCACCTCCTCCTGCTTTCAGAGCAGAACTCAAATTCCTCTTTCCCCAAGTCTTCTTACTCCGCCAGGCAGTGGTCCTTGCTTACCGCTTCAGACTCAAGGGGCTGCCGGCAGGGACACAGACTATCCGGCCTTTCCACAGGTTCCTAGGGCCATTTCAGGAATTGATGGACTTGACCAGGGTGTTGCAGGCAGGCGATTGGCCTGGCACATAGTAGGCATTCAGTAATGCTGAATGGCTGAGTGATAGGTGCTCACTAAGTGTTGCGTGACCGGCCTTCTCTTCTCAGGCTATTCCTCCCGTCCCCAGCTGCCCACCTTCTAGTGGAACTTGGCCACCATGACCCCAGGGTAGGGGTGAGGCCCTGCAGTTCACGGTGCAATATTTGCCAGTTTTGCCCTCTGCTCGGAAGGGCAGACCTGGCTTCTGATTACCCTGTGTGGATGTGTATGTATGTGTGTCCTTTCTTCTCTGTCCCTGGCAGCAGGGAGTAAATAGTCTGTGAATGAATATGGGACATTTCTGCAGTTAAGTAAGTATCCCAAGGTTTCTCTTTGGGGCAGGGAATCCTGGCTAGCCCAGACCTCAAGTGGGGACTTCTTTTTTTCTTTTTACAAGCCAAATTTGTTTTTACCCACTCCCTCTGAAGGACTGGGCAGTCGCCAAAGTAACCACTGGAGTCATCCATGCCCCTCTCCAGGTTCCCACAGCTTTCAGGGACAGCGGGCTAGAGGGCCGCCTGCCTCTATACAACACATGCTTCCCTCCCCACAGTGCAGCAAGGAGCAGACTGACCCAGTCTTGCCCAGCCCCCACCCCAGACAGGAAGGAAGTAATGCACCTTCTTTTGCTGATTATTTATTTGTTTGGAGAGACAGAAATGATGTAAAAGTGTATCTAGAAATATCTATATCTCTATATATTTTTAACTAACTCTTTGGAATCCCAGGAGGTAGGGAAGTTAGGTGTTTGTGGAGGGGAGACTTGGAACCTGGGAATTCCTTGATCTCCCCTCTTTGGCCTTGCCCCACCCCTAAACTGTTGGTAGAAGGACTGGGATTTGTTTGGGGGCAGGAGGCTGGGATGACCTGTGGAGAATCTGGATTCTCTGCTGTCCCCATCCAAATCCCAGAGGAAGGGTGGGAGGGAGGCAGGGAGGGGTGGGGAAGGGAGGGGGAAAGGGGTGGGCAGGCTGAGGAGGTGACCCACCCCCCAAGCCCGACAATCACCCACACTCCTGGGGCGCCTGGGTCCTGGGCAGGGCGAGTCCAAGTGTGTGGCTGCTGATTTGTTTTAACTATTTCTTTTCGTGCTGTATGGTGATGCTTTCTTAGTATTCTACACAATAAGAAAAGACAAAGTCCTCGAGATTCTTATGAGTTTTGTTTGAAAACTCTTTCACTATATTTGTTGTAAAGAGGTTTACTATTAAAAGAAAAGAACACACGTTTCTGATACTTCGGTGTGGGCTTTGGTTTTTTCGGTGCGGCAAAGGAGGGGTAGGAAGGCCTGGAGTGGCTTGCCCAGATGCAGGCCAGTGCTTGGCCCTGGCAGGGAAGGGTGGTGGTTGGTGATAGGCCTTGTGTCCATGTGTCTTGGTGGGAGTTTCTTCCAGGTGCTGTGTCAGAAGAAGGCAGCCTTAGACTGAGAGGTTGTCCAGTGAGAAGCCCCAAGTGGGCCTGGGCATGGTAGGGCATACTTTTAACCCCAGCATTCTGTGAAGCTGAGACAAGAGGATCTCAAGTTCAAGCCCAGCCTGGGAAACTTAAGAGATTCAGCAAGACGCTGTCTCAGAATAAAAGTAAAAAAATTAAGGATGGAGGATATAACTACTTGCAGGGTTTGGCCACTCCTCTGAACTGACCATGTCAGGCTGCAAAGGCAAAGCAGCTTTGTATGCCAGCCAAGGCTGCTTGTAAATGACTAAAGTCCACCCTGTAGGTTAAAGGCTGTGGTTGCTGCATGTTCTGCCTGCTGCAAGAGCACAGAGGGGCCAGGGAAGTCACAGAGAATCCTAAAGTCTTAGACATCGTCCTCTGCAAGATGCTACCATCTGTGTTAGGGTGAGAAGCTCCCCATAATACCTTCAGAGATGGCCTCCACCTATCCCTGCCTAGCATTCCTATCTTATGCCCACCCACTTCAAGTCAGGGTTGTTCCATGGGACCAGTGAATAAGGTGAAAGTGATGGCAAGGCTAAGTAGGCTTCCACCTAGCTCTGAGTTTGATCATTTGCCGTGGGAGAAGCTAGATGCCATGTTGGGAACAGCCCTATGGAGAGGCCCATGTGGCAAGGAACTGAGACCTGCTAGCTGCCATTTGAGTGAAGTCATTTTGTCCTCTGTCCTTACAGACAATTTCCTGGACATTGCTACAGTTGAGACCCCACTGAAGATTGTGTCTGTGAAACAACCTACTCTACCCTGACTGATGAGGACCCTTCCCACATGATACCCCCTTCACAGGCACACAGCATCACCCAAAATTGGTGGTATGGTACAAAGAGTTCCAAAATTAGGTTTTTGTGATGCCTGTGAACCCAGCACTCTGGGAGGCTGAGGCAGGATTGTAAATTTGAACCTGGCTGGTCAATTTATCAAAACCGTGTCTCCAATAAAAAGGGTGGGATAGGTGGGGAGGTAGTTCAGTGTGAAGGTCCTGGGTTTAATCCCTCGGACTCCAGAGAAAAATTTCTCTAGGTTTGGCATGGTCCAGAATGAGTTCAGCACCTAGGTCTACTGCTGATGGTGTGTGGCCTTGGCTTGTCACCATTTCCCTGGCATCTGTTTCTGTACAACAGAGCTGAGAGCTACTTGCTTGCTTCCTCAAACCTCTGCCTGTTCTCTCCAATTAACACCCTCATTTTTGCCCCAGCTCTGATAAATGAACAGTTGGTGGTCCTTCACTGCTCACAGTAGAAAGCACAAGTCTTTGGCCTGGTTCCCAAGGCCTTCAGAGAGCTAGCATAAACCCCTTTGAGGCTTAGCCCATGCCATTCCCTGGGCCTCCCTTGGATGCTAGGCAAGCTGTATGGTCACTCCATGCCTTGACAATCCCTTTTCTGCTCATGTCACCCTTCTATCTGAAATGCCACAAGCATTATTTTATTGTATTGTATTTTTGGTACTGGGAATTAAACTCAGGACCTTGTGCTTACCAAGCAGGCACTTACGCCGCTGACCTATATCCCTGGCCCAAGCATTTATTTTCTGCGTATTTGTTTCTGTGCTGGGGACTGAACCTAGGGCCTCAGGCATGCTACCCACACACTGTAATGCTAAGCTACATCCACAGCTTTTAAAAATTTTTTTAGAAAGGATCTCACTAAATTGTTCAGTCTGCCCTTGAATTTGTGATCCTCCTATCTTGGCCCCCAGAGTAACAGGATTATAGGTTTCCCCCATCACACCCAATGCAACAAACATTTATTAAGCGACAACACTGCATGATATATTAGGAATTAGGCTACAGAAGGGTCAGGAGATAAGTGAAGCAAGTGGGCTTCAGAGGTGAGAGATGAGGCACATCCAGTCCAAATTAGTGAGCTGAATTTTAAGACATGTAGGAAGTCCCTGGGCAAATGAGGACAGAGAACGCATCCCTTAACAGGAACAGTATGTCAAGGGGGCCCTTAGGAAACCATATGCTGTGAGGTCGATAAAGCAGCACTCATAAAGCTGAAGATAGGCAAAGACCTTGAATGGAAGATATTGATTGCCAAGGCATGGAGTCCGCAAAAGACATTTGGTCATCAAAAGATTTCCAGTAGAGAAACTGGAGTGTGGCTTAGTGGTGGAACACTGCCTCAGATGTGAGACACTCGGTTTGTTTTGTTTTGTTTTGAGACAGGCTCTTCCTATGTAGCCCAGGTTGGCCTTGAACTCATAGCAGTCCTCTTGCCTCAGCCTCTTGCATACTGGGATTACAGGCAAGCAACACCATGCCAGGTTCTGAGTTGGATCTCCCGCACCTTAGACACATAAAAACTTTGTGAGGAGGGATTTGGTCAGATCTATTTTTTTTTTTTTTGTCTTTTTCGTTTTTATTGGTACCAGAGATCGAACTCACGACTGCCTGCTTGCAAGGCAGACACTTATGCCGCTGAGCTAAATCCCCAGCCCCATCAGATCTATATTTCAAAAAGCTGCTGCCAGTAAGGGTAATCCTGAGTAATGCTGAAAAATCAACTGGACAAATGCAGCTTTGGGGCGAAGTAGGCAGGTCAAGATCTTCAACAAACAGAACTAACAAGGAATAAGAACAAGGCAGGATAGAGACGTGGAAAGGGGAGGATGAATGTGGTAGATTTTTACCAAGTAGTACTACTGTTTGTCAAAGACATGAAAACAGATGAGTTTACTTGGCTCAGAAGTACTACGAACAACAAAAAGCTCTGCTACTATTTTTTTTGAGGTTTTTTGTTTTGTTTTTATTTTTTTTGAGAGCTTAGCTATATTTCGCATAACCCCAAACTCACAACGATCCTCTTGCCTCAGCCTCCCAGTGCTAGGAGTACAGATGTGTGCCACACTCCTGGCTTGCAACCACCCCTATGTATTTATTATTTTTTTCCCCTTTTTTTGGACTTTTTGAGACAGAGTCTCACTATGCAGTTCAGGCTGGTCTTGAGCTCACTTTGTAACTCTTCGTTACACTTTGGACTGACTACTCAGGCTGGTCTCAAACTCCCAATGATTCTCCTGCCTCAGCTTCCCTAATGCTGGGATTATAGGTGTGTGTGCCAGGCCCAGCTCCCTATTTCTATTTTTAAACCCCTTCCTATCATTTCAGGTTTTATTCCTATAATTTTCTGTTAAACTTTCTTTCCCTCCACAGTCCTGCTCAGCTGGGTGTGATTTCCTCTAATGAAGTGTTTTAGGAAAGGAATCTGTCCCTTCTTTATAGTATCTACTGTATTTTACTCTACCTGGAAATGTTACACAATGGGTTCTATTTTCTATTCACAACTGGACTGAAAATTTTGGGGGCTGGAGTGAGGGGATGATAGTAGGGACTGAATCAGGGTCTAACCCACATTCCCCTCTCTCCCTAAATTGCCTAGCAAAGATTCAGACTTTCCGTTCTGTCTCAGCCTCCCAGACTGCTAGGATTACAGGCATGCACCACCACACCCAGCCTAAAGGTTTCTTTCTTTTTTATTTTCCTTTTTAAAGTTTCTTATTAAATGCACTCACTGCCTCATCCATTTGTGTCTGGCGCAGAGCCTGGTATACACTTATGTGTTCAGGGAGACTAAAGTGAGATAATGCATGTGAAAGTGCACTTGAAAACCATGAATCCCAGGAATCTGTTTAAAATTTACGTAAGGTGTGGTAATTTTTTGCAGCTTGTCTACTTTCCTGCCGCAGAAAGAACCAATGGGAAGGAATGTCAGCTAGAATGGGGTGAAGGTCCTTTTTCTGGGGCCCAAGCTATTAATTCACAAAAGAGTTAGCACTCCCTGGGCTCCTCCCCCAAAGATGTGGCTCTGAGGAAGCACCGGGTGGTATCTGATTGTGTCGGCCAGGGAGATCAGGCCAGTTCATTTCTCCTTAGCTTGTTCTCTTCTGACTCACCCTTTGGTCCCAGGGGCTGAGTAACTTTCCAGCTTTGTGATGGTGGAAACTTGTTTCAGGAACAGTGGATGCTGAAGGGACATAGGGCGACCCCACCCCAGGCTCCAGAGTGGCTTTTACTGGAGCCAAGATCCTTGCTCCTGTGTGCAGTCTTAAATCACTGAGTGTCCCTGGGCGGCCAAGAAGCACGTCCAGTCCTCTACCCTCTCACAGCTGGCTAACCAAAGTCCCAAGGGAAGAGGTGTCTATCATTGCTCTCACTGCCTTCAGCAGCTTCTTTCCACCCACTCTTTCAAGGCCGGTCGCGATCAGCCGGGGGCCCAGGATTTCACTCCCACTGGGCCAATTCACTTTGACCCTTTTGCTTTCTGCCTGCACCCACGCGATTACAATTCCAGGGCCTGGCTCCAAATGGTCCGCGCCTTCGCAGGGGGCCGCCCACAGACCCTCCTGTTTACTGCGCTTTGGCCACCACGTGCCCAATTAGTGCCCAATTACGCCGCGACACAGAGGCGGGTCACGAGCCCGCTGGGCCCCGCCCCTGGCCACTCCCGCCGTGGAGGAGCCGCCAGGGCGGGCAGAGGAGTGATTCCGGGTTCAGAGAGAACATCTCCATCTAAGGCGAAAAGGCGGGAGGGCGGTAGGAAGGGGGCGACAGCCGCTTGTCTTTAATCTCTACAGGAAGCCCAGGGCGGACTGCTCACCGCATGCCAGCTCTCGGGCTCTACCTGGCACACGGGAGGCGCTTAGTAAGTGCTGGACTGGACACACCGCGCCAGTCTTCCTTACTCCGAGCTGTCTTTCTCCTCCCAACAGGGCAGAAATGGCACTGGTTGGGCAGCGGGGCTACCCCACCCCCACAGCACCTGCGGTCCAAGGAA